ATCCCCTGATCCTCAAAACACCACAAAACCCTGCTAACGGGGTAGAGGGTGAAGGTTGAATTGGTTCCCAAAAGAATCATTCCCACTTTGTGTGGAAAAGATGTGCCTCCCAAAGAAGCAGCAAACTTTACAAAAGGGGCAACCTGAAGGCAATCTTCTTTGAGACAAAAAACTGGAAAATGGTAAATTACAGAAAAGAACAGGGCCACTACTGAGGATGGCTCACAACTGAGAAGGCATCCCAAGACATCTCCAGGCATGACAGACAAAGCACAAGGCAACCAAAGAAGGGGTTAATGGGGTTAATCAGTTACCAGAACTTATAAAAAATATATATGAGAAAGCATCCATACCAAGATAACTAACATCTTAGAAAAAATTGCCCCAAGAAAAGGTAAAGATAACTGCTACAACGAAGTAGGAGAGAGGGAGTCAGCGAAAGGGAGTCAGTCAAAAAGTTGGAAAGAGGCTCCTTTGAGGTCACTAAGGATCCATGGACCCAAAGAAGACAAAGCTGCCTGCTCAAGGACCAGCGAAAAGGCACTATGTAGGCAGAGATAAGCGAGAGACTGAAATGAACAAATGTCCTTTAGAGGAGCCACTGACAATAGGTGTGAGGCTGTAAGGGCCTTGCCCAGGAGAAGGAAAAGGTGGGAAAGGGGGATTCACATGAGGGAGCCCAATAGGTGAATAACACCTAGCTGCACAGGAAAAGAGACAGTACCAGAGATCACCCCCATAGCCTAGACCCTGCTGTTTGGAGGAGACCAAGGCTGAGAAGACGAGTCAAAGCATGTAGGTTTTCCCACAGGAGCTCTCGGCAAAATGGGTGGCAGTAATGAAGGAGCAGGGCTAAGGCCAGTCTAACAGAGGAGAGACCCAGAGCCAACTTCATATATAAATAAGATATTGCAGAGCACCTGATTAGAGTTTAGCTTAGCCAGGGGTGTCCCTCCCGGTCATTTGGGAAAATTCCAACGGCAAGCAGGGTGCCAAGTATGAGGAAATCTAGGATAGCAGAAGACCCAAAGCTGCAGGAAGAAAGCACAGTGAACCAGCACCCAATGGCCAAGCCAGGCTAAGTAAGTAAGTAAGTAAGTAAGTAAGTTTATTCAGGTATACACAAATACAATTACATATAATTATCATACATAGCAGCATATGTGTACAGAACCTAGGATAACCCAAAAAAGTCAGAGTGACTTATTTCCATTGGGGTCCTTTAGATATATGATGACACAGTTGACCATCAACTGAACCCTCAAAATGAGTAACTGAAGGTGAACATCAATCCTGCAGTGAACATAACTGATGAGCTGCCAGCACATCTGTGCCAACATTGAGAAGGGAGATCTAACACAAAAGAGGGAAGATCTGGAAGTCACCTATGAAGCTCCTGGGAATGTAGGATCTAAAACACAGCTGCAGGTGACAAAACTCAGTACTACAGGATGCACATGTACATGGGAGGAAGAAGAAAGATCACAGAATAACTACAGAAAGGTCAGAGCTGAATCATTTTTTTTAAAGAACTGTTATCCTACCTCAGCTCAATTTAGGATACAACCTATGATAATCAATTAATACCAAGTTACTTATACAGTACCAGTTGCTCAGGGGCGCAGGTGTAAAAAGGGACCTCCCTATACATCTTGCAAACTTGGAAACCCATTCCTGAGCCTTGTCAGTTATGATCAAAATGCTCCTGTTTCGAAATGACATACTGGCAAAAATTTTTGCGAAAAAAAGACATATGGTGCAGAAAAGCTGTTTTGTAGTTTTATCAAGTCCTGACTTGAAAAAATTTTCTACACAAAGTGAAATGTTTTTCAACATGTCTTTGTACCCAAGTGACACATTGATTACACTATAAGTCACTCAGACATCTGGGACACTCAATAAACTTAACAGGAGCAAACAAAAAAGTAAGCAGCCACAGAGGCCTTGTAAATTATACTCTTCCTTGTAACTGCTGCTCCAGAAAGCTTATGTTGAATTAACTTCTATAAATTTAATGACACGAGTTTATGAAGACATACATAATGTCTGCAAACAC